TTAAGTTGCCTAATAATTCTGCACTCCCTGTAGTTATGGTTATGGCGTTAAGGTTTTGTTTGTGGTGTTTCCACTTCACAAACTATGACATCGCAACAATGTGATTGTTGGAAAATCCATTTTTGGTTTGTTCATTTTTAAAATTAGAACTCAGCCAGAACTTACCAAGGTGTCTCACGTGCCACATGGGGTCAATGCTAGAGTGGCGTTTGTAAAAAACAATGAGGAGTGGAGGAGTGGTAACGCTATCTGCGAGGGTTTTACCGTATAGATCCTCCCTGAGAAAAGGAAAACATCACGGTTTTAAAACAAAGAAAGAGATTCACTGGATTAAATTTCAAGGTACATGTACAATGACAACAAAGGTCTATTCTATTCTAAATTCATGTTTTGTAACTAAAAGTAGGATTTTTTTCCTTTGTTTAAAGTCCATTCATTATTGCGCCAGTCTGAGTCACTTACTGTGTGTTGAGCTCCATCCAGTGCTCCAGCTGCTGGGTGATGTTTTGGTTCTTCCATTCAGTCAAGTTGGCAATGAAGACCCCGGGATTGAAAGAGCACGTGTTGGCTCTCATCCCCAGCTTCTTGATAGCTTCTTTCTTGAAATCCAAGAAGCCAATGTAATTATTCTGTTAACAGAGATTTGTCATCTAATTAAGCATCACAGTGTATGATATTCTTAACTTTTTGTTTTACTCTGAAAAGCTCTTGTGGGTCATGCCCACCTGATTTCCCGCACCACGAACAATGCCTTTGGCAGATGCCGAGTCACAGTCATCAGAGAAGGCTGCGGCATGTCCTGGTTTGAGGTTGGTTTCATAGAGCTCCTGAATGTCACCTGAGAGCCAACAGAAAAGAATTTACTGATCTTAAAAAAAAAAAAAAAAAAAGGGGGCCTCATTTCATAACCAAATCTCTTCATTTCTGGAGACTTCTCACCTTGTACGATGACATCATCGTCCAAATAGATAGCTTTCTCTGCTTCGGTAATGTAAGCAGGAAGATAAAACCTGGCAAAGGTCAGCTGAAAAAAATTACAGTTAAAACAAGTTTTAGCTAGTGGGGAAGGCATGCAAACAACATGTGTATGCCTGTAGTTGTCTTACTAGTTTTGCAGCCTCCGGGGTCTGAGGATCCTTAGATATCTTCCCATTAAGTAACTCAGGCTTAAAAATTACTATCTTATATTTGACACTGTTTAGTCTAGTATTACTCAGCCATGCTCTGTAAAATAAAGAAAAGGACAGGTCAAATATGACCAAGTTCACAAACTCCCACCTTTCTGCACCTAAGGAGAGAGACGTGCTGAAATATCTTACTTTAAGTGAGCGACGGTTTCATTCAAGGTCACGATGTTGAAGACAACATTGGCTTTGCTGTTCCTGTACACACTGTTCATGGCAGCAACAACAGCACCAAGTCTGTCCTCAGCAGCGGTGATGAGAACAGGAATCTCCTCACCCGTCCTTGCCGAATTCAAGTCTGGAGACAGTTCAGACTCAAAGGGAAGAATCAGCCCTTCATCTGCACATAAAGGCACATTTAAAAATGCATTACATCAACTTTTTGTATGGCTTTACTTAAATTCACCTAACTGCTCCACGCAAGAGTGTGTGCCCCACACTACAGTGAAGACTCGAACACATAGATAATGACCATACCTGGCTTTTCTGTGTGCAAAAAGTCACTGAGATTGAGGAGATTTCGCTGGACTATGATGAGGAAGGCAACAGCCAGCAGCACAAGAATGATCACGTTAACTGAAAGACACAGTAAGTATATAGTCCTCTCATTATTACTCTGCAAGTTTTCTATTTCTGCTTTTCACACACTCTGCAGAACTAGTTACAGCTAAGCTGCAAATGATTCAAACTGACCTACCTCTCCTCAGTCCCATAGTAATGATCTCATCCGTCCCTCCAGCACGTGAAAGGAAAAGAAAACAAACCAAATAATAAAAAGGTTAAAACATAAACATCAGAGGTGGTTTGCGCGCAGAAGGCGCAGGATCATCTGGCAGTTAATGAGGACTGCTGCTGTACCGCTGCGTGGCAGAAACCTCATAAACACGAGAAACCACCCGCAAACTAGCGGACATTAGCGTTGGCTTTTAGTACGTTAAAACAAACAAAAGTTTTGCAATTTTTGCAGAGTTTTAAGAAGAATTCACTTTGAAACCAAACTGCCAACTCAACATCATCAAATCCGCCCCATCCACACGCCTTCGCGTAGTAAGAGGTGTCTCTGATGTGCCTGACTGAAAAAACTACATCTTGTCGCGTTTTACTAACACAAACGTGTCATAAGCTACGTTTTTTATATATGTATGTATAATATATACATACATATATAAAAATATATATGTATGTATAATATATATCTATATCTATAACGACTAAAATAATGGAGCCACATATTTTGACTGGCACTTGTGTGGCCAATCATATATTCCCACAAACACTAAACCCAAATTTGACTGTACCACGTACGGCTTCGTCCAATCCGTATGCGTTGTAGATCTTTGCGCTTGCGCGATTTCCTCCGCTGTAATTGGGTCCTTTTCGTTTACAGACGTATCTTTTTGAAACCGGAAATTCAGTTCCTTCGATTTGTTCTCGCTAATTCTTTCAATTTTATGGTAGCTTATTTCATTTGGAAACATGCTGCCTATATTCAAGTCTATCCCCACGCATATGGTAAGCGGTAATTGGGTTATTTGATCAGAAACTGCACGGTCAGGCTCGCACTGGCTTTCGTGCATGCTGTGCTATTGAGCTAAAGTTAACCTGTCTAACGGTAGCTGATGTGTCTGTGGCTACGCAGGTAACAGCTGTTATATGATTTATCCCCTAAACCTAAAATCGTGAAGAAGATCATTCTTCCTAATTAAGAAGATTTAAAAGATAGATTTACCATATGACTCAGCAGCTATTAGTTGGTTATTGATATTGCAAATGCATTGTCTTACCTAAAGAAGCTTGATGTGTGTGCTCGGACCCATAAGACAAACTCATTACTACACTGCAACCTTCAGTCAGGAATTGAAGGGTCTTGGTGTTATATTCATCTGCACACTTTACACTGAAAAAAAGCTGTTTTAATGACGACATTGGTACTTGTTTCTGTTATTGCTTGTGTGTGTGTGTGTGTGTGTGGGGGGGGGGGGGTTAAGTAGCATAGGAGGGCTTAAGCAATCATGGTGTACATCCTTTTCACGTATAATAATAAGAGATTCATTGACACACACTCCTCCCTCCCCAAACAACTGTTTTCCAGGATTATAAAGGTCAGAAGCTGGCAGAACAGATTTTCCAGGGAATAATACTCATCTCAGCGGTAACTAACCAAAATTTCACACAATCTTTTTTTTAAATTTTACTTGAAGTTAGATTTTAAGATATTTGTGTAATTGTTGCAGGCGATTGGATTTGTGTACGGTCTGATCATTGAACAGTTCGGGTGGACAGTGTACATTGTCTTGGCTGGTTTTGCTGTCTCCTGTGTGGTAAGTTTGCCATGATAGATACATTGTGCACCTGTTACATGTTTCTGTCCTTGCTCTCCTTTCAGCCTGAGAGGAAAACATGTCAGAATTAGACACATTGTTGTTTTCGCTTGTTTTTTCACACCTGTCCAGCCCTTTAACAACATCCATCATAACTTAATTTTGGGTCTGTTCTTTGCTTTAGTTGACCTTGCCTCCATGGCCTATGTTCAGAAGGAATCCTCTGTCCTGGCAGCCGGCTTTACCAGAGAGCACTGCAGAGCCCAGCCAAAAACCTCAGGAAAGCACCAAAAAGAAGAAGCACAAATAACTCGCAGGCACCCCGTATCTGCCTGTTAATACATCTTTTTATATTGGATGTTGTACTGAAGTCTTGCAATTCACATTTGAAGCATTTAGTAAGAACCCTTTGTTACAGTGTTACCCAGTAATGAAACCTGTGTTTCACATAATAAACACCTGATACAGTCCATGTTTTTTTTTAAAATTATGTTTATGTTTGGGAATGCTGAGAATGCACATGCAGTCATCTTGTTTTAGTTCTTTTATCAATTAAATGTTTTATTCTGGTTTTCAACATAAAACAAGAACAAGAAAAATAAACAAGAAATACATTAAGGATTTATTAGAAATTGTTCACATGTTAATATCTACATCTAATTTACATTATTTTGGCTATAAGAAAATACAATTGAGCAGTAGGGGGAAGATTTAGTGTCCTCAACAGATGTAACCATTCTAGAAATTCTGGTTTGCATTATAAATAAGGTGATATTCCTCTACAGCAAATGGAAAGACAGCGTGCTTAAACATGACAAAAATATTTGCATAGGGATCTGGAAAATCCTTAGATGCTTTCACATTTTGTGTTTATACTGAAATTAAGTTTTAAAAAAAGAGAAAGAAATTAACTTCATTTACATGTGATGTACACAATAAGATTATATCTGTATGACAGTCCCATGACAAAACCTGCAGTCAGAAGTGAGATCTTGCATGTTGTCTGGAAAAAAATGTAACAGTCCCAAACAATCATGTTGGGACTGTTAGTAAAAAATGCCTTTGAGCAGTTTTCAATTCAGTCCATGTTTGAACATGAATGCTGGTATATTTCTTGCAAAGACCATCTTGATGTGCGTCATCATTTAAGATTTGTTGCTCCAGCTTACTTCGGGGTTTCCACACAGACGATTGTGAAAAACATTTAAGCTTTCATATATAGTGCTTTTTAAATCTTAAAGGCCATATCCTCAAAGAATTTCAGCTGCCTCACCATTACAGCATAGGCTTGGTACTTCTCATCTCCCATTAGGTTGCGAAGGCACAGCTAAAAAAAAAAAAAAAAAAAGGAAGACAAGTGGGGTCAGTTTACTGTGAACTGGCATGTTTATCTGTACATGATCACGAGTGGTGTTTTAATGGCAAATTTGTTAGTCTCATTAGATATTCTGAATGTACGAGGCCATGAAAAAGTATTCACCTCCTTCCTGATTTCTTAGTTTTTTCCATATTTGTTATACTTTCATGTTTAGCAACATCAAATTCCAATATCTGACAAAGATATTTCCAAGTAAATGCAAAATATGGTTTTTGGATTATATTTTCATGCAGGAAAAAAGCTACCCAAACCTACTTGGCCCTGTGTGAAAAACCTAAAACTAATAACTAATTGTGCCACCCTTGGCAGCAAGAACTGCTATCAAGTGAAAACTGACAATAAGTCTTTCACAAAACTGGAAGAATTTTGACCCACTCTTCAGCCACAGTGGATGGTTTACGGTCATGCCACAGGATCTCAATCAGATTTAAGTCCAGACTTTGACTAGGCCACTCCAAAATTTTCATTTGGGGTTTCTCCCAGCTCTCCCATAAACTTTGACGTGAACTGAGAGAAGTGAGGCCTGCACTTGTTTAGATGTTGTTCTTGATTTTTTTAAAACCAAGAAGATTGGTATACGGTAATAATGTTTTTCTCCTCTCCACTACTATATGGTTTATTAAACCTTGACCTATCCATGTAATTTTATCTTGATATTGGATGTGTTTTACCCACTTCTCTTTTGGCGTCATCCTCCTCCTCCATCACTTCCAGCACTTTGTCCAACAGCTTGACCCCCAGGCCCTTCACCACATCTGTTCTCAGACGTTCTATGGCTCTTCTTATTTTGGCCGGACCAGATGGAGAGCCTTCTGAAGTGACATACATATTTAACACAATGGAGTTTCATAAAGACTGACATATTGCAAAGGGTTTGAACAAAGCATCTAACCTATTTGACCGAGTGACAAGTTCTCCGCTTCCTCTCGAGCCTTCCCATGAAGCAACAGGGTATCCCTGTACTTCCTGTTCAGTTTAAACTCTGGCAGTGCGGTAGAGCCAAATCTGCCTCTGTCCCCCTCGCTTACACCATCTCCAACATCCATTCTCAAAGTCTGAGTCATCATATTAACTAAGTCGTGCATGTCGCTGGATTCAGTCTTTCTGCAGAGAGACCACAAAACATGGATTATAAACACGTTTAAGAAAATTTAGGTTTTGGTTCAGTTTTATGATTCAGCTAAGTTGCACTCAATTCTACTGCCGTATGCTCTTACCTTTCCCTGCAGTCTCCTTCTGAACGCTCTGTGGAACTTGTGGATGAGCTGCATTCATCTTCATCTGACTTTTGCTCCAGCAGTTTATCCTGCTGATACAACACAGATATGTGTTTCAGACTCAGTACGATAGGATCAGATTAGCCTCACAAAGGCAGAATTTGCAGTGGGTCACTCTCAGTCAGGCCAGTGCCACAGTCAGTATGTAATGTAGCTTACAAATGAACAGTAAAGTCAATGCACTGTCACAGTGGGTGGCGTGTCTGTACCTTACTATTGGACTCTGCAAAAGAGGCAGACACAGATCGAGTAAATGGGGCACTGTCGTGCTCAGCCTTGGTGGACGTGACATCATAAGATGCCCTCCGTACAGCACTAACACCTGGGGAAGACAGAAAACTAATCAGAGACAGAAATGTAGAAACAAATATTAATTTCTGTACATCCTTTTGTTTGTTTTGCAACAAAATGCTCCACTTTGAGTTTCGAGTATCATACATGGTTGTCTGGCACTCTCTTGGGACTGCCTCAGTCTTCTTCTCTCTCTTGCAGAGAGGGGACGATCCTAAAAATAAAATTTGATAGAACAATATTGCATAAACTATGAAACATGACAAGAATGAAAAGAGAAATAACCTTTCTGCCCCCACAGATCCAATTACACAGTATGTAATTGGATCTATTTGTTTGTCTGTCTGTCTGTTGGTTAGCAGACTAGCATTCACAGTTCGAGGTGATTTCATTTTGGTGAAAATCAGTAAAAACTGCTCCCCTATTATAGATCATCTTCAAACTTTACAACAACATTCTAGGCCTTGGGATCAGCTAGATAGATCAGCTAAACATTTGACCTTGACTTTCATTGTTAGCACCCAAAGTAAAGATTGACCTTGAAGAAAAACTTTCAAGAAATTATACTGAATAATGTAACATATGAAATGGAGCTGAACAACATATTTTCTTTTTTTTCCAATACGACGGCCTACAATGTCAAATGATGCCATAACAGGCTGACGTCATCATATTGTAATAAGGAAATAATAAAATATCAAAGTTTGAGTATAGCCTTGGCCTTGCTCCTGTTTTGACACTGTTCTCTTTACTCTTGCTGACATTTGTTTCTAAGATGTAGAAGACTAAAAAATGCAGATATAGATAATCTGTTATCTCTCTCAAAAACGTTATGTCTTAGGCAAAGCAAATGTTCAGAAATTAAAAGCTGTGGTTTTAGGGGAATGCCCTCACCTGTGGTGCTGGTAAAAGTCCATCATTATGGGAGCTAACTGATTCTGAGGTCACAGTCACATCAGCTTTCTTGGTCTCCGAGTTCCTCCTGCTCCTCTTTTTCCCCTCCACAGCTACAGTATCAACAGGAAGCTGAGGTAAAGGTCTAAGAGCGGCCACCTTGGACTGAAAGGACAAAACAAGATACAACAACTGCTTTAATTAGCCTAACTCACTCCTTTGTTACTGTCACGCATGCTGGCTGGCTAGCACTGCGATAGAAAGTGGTTAGGAATAGATCTTAACCAAAACAAATGCTAAATGAAATTTGCTGACTGGAGAGTCAGTGAAAGGTCAGTGAAAGAAGATCAGCAGCACATTCTTGAGAGCATCGTTAAGAAGGCAACTGGATTTCTTTAGGTTTGTGAAGACGGTTCGCCTCTCATCCAACAGGGACTCTCCTCCGATTATTTTACAACTGAAGAAGCGTCTTGGATGAGAGGTGAAACAGCTTCACAAACTTGAAGAATTCCACTTCCCTTCCTTGTCAAGCTCTTAAGAATGCCTGGATGATTTTGATGACTGAGAACCTACACAGACACATTCTTTTTTGTCTTGCCATTCCTTTAAAATATCATTAGAACGATAATGATTTCAGCAACATCACTCCTGTATCAGTCTTTACCTTGTCCTGGTCCTCATGTTTCTGTCTTGTGTGCTTTCCTCTGTGCTGCTGTGATATAGATGGTTCTGATGATAGGTACAGAGGAGTTAGACATGTAGCAGCTCGATCTGGCTTACTGGCTTGTAAGGGAGATTCTTCCTTAACGGGTTCCTGAAAAAACACAAATACAATTGCATTAACACGAGGCAACGTGTTCTATACTATATCTGCATTATTTAGCACTCACCAGTGGTGGAGGGAGTGGCTCTAACAGCTTTTCAGTAGATTCTAGGCTTTCCTACAGAGATATAATTGAACAAATAAAGCAAACACCGAACACTATAGATGAAAACATCAAAAGAAGGTACTTTAGGACACTTACTTGGATGTCTGAGGTAGGTAGGTGTGCTGGAGCATGCTTGAAAAGAGTCACAGTGTTGTTCTTATTGTCTGCATCTGCTTCTAGAACCTCGTTTTCTGGATTTGGGTCCTGTGGATCAGCTTTTTTCAGTAACTCCATGGTGTCATCCTTATCATCCATATCTGAAATCTTATTCTCCCCCGAGATAGATAACTTGTCCCCAGGGTTTGATTTGGCCTGTCGCTGAAAGTCAGACAAGTCACCGGCCACCCTCCCTTCGTCTTCTCTCGTGCTGCAAACACCTGATACAGACTTCAGAGGGGGCTTTAGTGGCGAAGGAGGGGGAGAGGGATCTGGTTTCCCTCTCACCTTGCTGTCTTTGCTCACATTGTGCGTGAGAGGTTCATTAGCTGCCCGGTGATGCGACACGACAGGCTGGGGCCTCTGCACCTGTCTCTGTATCAGGTCATTGTCCAGCTGCACGTGGATATCAATATCGATATTGCTAACAGTAAGCAGGGATGCTCTGAGAGCATCAGGTGAAGAGGGTTTGAATGGCGGAGGCGTCTGGATGGGAGTGCTGTCTACCACACCGTTCCGGCCTTTAAAGTGTTGCGATTTGTCGTCTTTCTGAGTTTAACAACAAAAATAACAATCACAGAGGGTTCCTTGTTTATATGAACATCTTTAACTGAATCACAAAAAGTTTAATAGGAGTGTTCTTTCTATGTAGCAGCTATATCCAAGTAGAAAACAAATACTTTCCACAAAGGGGGGAGTTTTTTAATGAGCGCAGATGAGATGAAAATAAGAAAACTCAAAAGAAAGGATTGACTGAGTATCATTACCATTACACACTGATATGTGTAGGCTTCCATCAGTCTACCACTGTGTAAATAAAAATAATATAAGTCATAGGATTCATTTTATTACGGTAAATCAGTATTAGTATTCATCCTTAACTTACCCGCTTTACCCTGGCACGAGGTTCAGGTTGTGGACTGGGAGCCAGCCTCTCAGGCTTTGGCTGACATGACATCACAGGTGACACACTGCTGGTCCTACAATCACCACTGCCACCAACAGGTCTTTTTCGTGACTTGGCAGTTTTTCTGGGGAAGTGAAAATCAAGACACATAATAAGCCTTTAAGAACAAAGAGATCACTGCACAAAGAGAGGGGCAGAAATGATCAGGTTATAAAAACATACAAAGAAAATTTCAAAACACCATTTTTGATTTTTTTCATTAAAATGACTTAGAGGGAACTTACTCTTTTGTTGCCTCAAGGAACATGGCAATTTGTCGTTTTATGTAGGGCTGCCGGAGAATGAGTTTGACATCGGGCCTGTCTTCAGGTCTCTTAGACAGCATGCTTTTGATTAAATCTCCAAGCTGGGGCTCATACTTACTGGGCATCTGTGGAAGCTGTTTAGAAACCCAGAAGACAATTATCACCATTCAGAATAAACCACATGGGACAAGTGTTAATTAATAAAAAACAAATCCAAATGGTTGAAGACACCTATCAGTCACACAGAAACCACAGTCTGGGCTTGTAAACAAGTGAGCTTAAGTGACACTCACAAAATCACCCAAACGTTTTAGGCTCATTAAACTACATTGTGGTATAGATATTATTTTGATATAATATATTAAAATGGATTTATTCAGTAAGGAGTTCGCATGTTCTCCTCCATGTCTGTGCGGGTTCTCTTCAGATAGTCCAGCTTCCTCCTGGAGTCCAAAGACATGCATGGGCTAGGTTAACAAGTGATTCTAAATTGACCATAGGTGTGAATGTGAGTGTAAACAGTTGTATGCTTCACTGTGTTAGCCCTGTGGCAGACTGGCGGGTGTTCCAGGTCGTAACCCAGACAAAGATAGAGGGATAGATACTGTAACTTACAATACTTTACCTAAAGAAAACATGAATAAAAAATGAATAATAATTTAAAAAAAAAACATAAATATGTTAAAATATAAAGCTCACCTTTCCCTCTACAATACGATACACCAGTGAGTTCATGTCCTTGGCATTGAAGGCGTGTTTCAGTGTAGACATCTCATATACACAGCAGCCCAGGGCCCAGACATCTGACTAGAGACAGAAAAATTCAACCCATAAAAAGATGTATGCATCATTATCATACAAAGTCTATGGGAGCATCATTCATGAGAGCGGACTTCATGACTTTGTACCCGGCATAATGTGACCTTTAAATTAAGTACTCAAAGCATAAGTACTTGTTAACTTGTCTACATTACTACTTGCAGTTTCTTTCATTTATAAGCTGGATACCTCAGCTACATAACATTTTGCCCTAATGTGGGCCAGTATTAGTGGATACATTCCTTGGTTATACTGCACAGTATGCTAGCATGTAATGAGCCAATAAAACACTATATCAGGGAAGCTAAAGTTACACATACAGTTTGGTGCCATAACCTATTTGGCAGAGCGCTAGCACTGTCTCACTTCTGTGGGAAAGAAACCTGATAGTTCATTTCTTACGTGATCATCCTGGCACACTGTCTCTGTGCACTGCCAAAGCTTTTCTTCTGCATTGAAACAAAAAACTTTTAATAGCTACTAAAGTCTATGTCTTTGTCCTGCTTAGAGAACAACTCCTCTATGCACCAACGGCCTGGGAACAACAATCAAGGAAATCCTATTTATGCATGTGCTAATGTGCCCTTTAATGAAGCCCTGAGAGTTGCTGTCTCCTAGCTGATGTATTTGACTCCATATACTACACATTTGTGTTTAATAAGTCATCCCAGTCCTTTACCCTGCTTATATAACTTCAAAGACAAGGAGTCATTTTAAACAGATATCCAAAATACCTTGTGGTTATAAGGTTTATTAGAGAAGAGTTCAGGACTCATGTAGTATGGGGTTCCTATGAGTGTGCTGGCCATATCATTCTGGTTCTCCAGTACTCGGGCAATGCCAAGGTCCCCCACTTTAATGATGTTGGTTTTCGTCAGGAAGATATTCTGCGTTTTAAGGTCCCGATGAAGAATGTTCCTCTCATGTAGGTACTGATATACAAAATAAGAGAGTGACTGTCGCTTTATGTGAATAAATGATGGAAAAAATGCATAAACTGATGCAGAACTCACCTGCAATGCCATGGCTATCTGGACAAACCACTCCACCACCTGCCTCTCGGGTAACAGCTCTCCTTTTTGTTGTTTAAGCCTGTGATAGAGGTCTCCACCTTCACAGAAACCCATCACAATGTACAGCTGGCAGTCATCTCCTTCCCAGGACTCCTTGTAAGTCACAATGTTGGGATGGCGCAGTTGAGACAGCAGCTGCGCCTCCTGCTCCGCAGCACGTCGTTCACGTTTGGAGGAGGTGGTCAAATTCAATCTCTTTATAACATACTACAAGAAACACAAACACGTGTGCTGAAAAACAAAACCTATGCACTTTGAATAGATTTTACAAGTCTATGCCTTTGTTCCTCTATAGACTAGCAGCCTGGGAACACCTTTAATGAAGTACACTGGTCAATAGTTGTTATGAAAAAATACATTAAAAAACAAAAACGAAACTATATGAATGCATACAAGTTTATTAGAAGATGCATTGAAATTTTTTATATTTTTAAAAGGCCAACCCCCCCCCCATGGTACAACGGGTAGCTCTGTCATCTCACTGATAGAAGGTGCCATACTGCTGCTTCCCCTATGACATCTTGAATAATGCCCAGCTCCCACTGTGACATATGTGAAAAATAAATTGGATGGATGGATCAGCCACTTTCAGACCTTGTTCCTCACATTGAAATCTGAGGAAATGTTTGAATATGAATATCTCGGAAACTATTAAAGACATGCCTGAAAATTTCACTGGTATTTCATAACGGGTCTGTAATTACGGAAAAATTAATAAATAAATGTCTGAGTATTGGCTAGTTAAAATATGAAAAAAAGAAAGAAAAAGAAGATTCAAATAGTCTTGTAAACTTATTTACATACATATTTGAACACATAATAAAATAACTTTCTGAATGAGATATGGTTCTATTCCAAAATAATGCTGAGAGAATTAATTTTAACATGAAATTCTTGGTCACAAAACGGCAGAAAATGCTAATTGCATCCATCTGTCACGCTGGATCGAGCAAATGTGCAAGTTGTACCACAAACAAATAAAAATATCAGAAGATGGTTTAATCCAAATGAAACAAAGTTCTGGAGTTACACATGGTACTCTAATTGTAACTGGCAAAGCATATCTCACAGAAATCATTACAAATATTCATGTACATACAAACTTTGGCCCACAAAAATCGTGTTGCAGGAGGTGATTTCATATATGCTTCATCGTGAAAGAAAACAAATTGTGCAATGAAAATCTGAGCTATAGGAGCAAAGAGTTCTGATTTATAAGTCAGTTATGAATGGACTACTTCACGTCTGTCAGACGCAATAATAGAGTATAGAAATATTATCATCACAGTGGTCAACAAGCTTAAGCTGTTGTTATAATGCCAAAGTTAGCAGAAACATTGGTTTTCAGTGGGTATAAAACCTTAACTCAGTCCGTGAGACTTTACAGGACTTATGCTAACTTTGTGCTAGCAGTACTTAGCAGGGTTTTAGGGTCTCTACGAAAACGTTTAGCATGTGGTTGAAAGGCGTGCTTATTTTAACATATCTGGGGTTTGTTTCCACTTACAACCGCTCTGTTTCTCACCTGTTTACGGTCTGTTTTGTGTTTCACCAAGTTCACCTCCCCATAGCTCCCTTTCCCAACGACCCTGATGAAAGTGTAATTATTCATCATTCCTCAAAACGCTTCATTACGAGGCCCGAAACGCCAAAAGTTTACAGGACCCGCTCCCGTCAAGCGTAACAGCTCTATTCAGTCCCGCATCCTGCTGTGAATGCGACGCAAACAAATCTGCTGGGAGAAAAAACTTCCCCCTAGGTCAGCGCCAGCGACGAGATGTTGGAAACGCAGGAAATCAGCCCTGCTGCACAGTTTTTTCGTCACTAGGCAACTGGTCGCTCACTGCCGATGATGAGGTGAGAGGGGGGAAAGCAGCGCTCAGTTTGTGACACAGCGCCACCTAGTGCCTGGAGTCACAACAAGAAGCACCTTCACCGCAGAGACGCTTTGTATGCGTTTCAGGGGACAGTGGCACAACTGTTCACCTAAAGCACCTTAATTCACGCTTCTACCCTTTGAGAGAAGAATACAAAGCGTAGAAGCCACCGAGGACGTGTGACCTGTTTAATTACAAATGTAGATGTTTAAAAACTGAAATAAAAAATGACTGAATAAATAAAACGAATAAATACATAAAAATACAAATAAAATGAATAACGAAACAAAATACTATTTTTTTTAAACAAAACAGGCATCAAATTAGAAGTCAAATAAAATTTCTAAGATCTAAAAAGAAATATTTATTATTTGTTTCTTGTTTCTTTACATAATAGCAAAACGTTGTATGTTTAAAAAAACATATTGGGAGACGTTAGGGTTTTCCCTTGATGACGCCACTGGTAGCACACTGGACCACTGCATTGGCTGTAACCTTTCTTTATTAAAATTACGAGTTATACATCTACTATTTCTGCTATGGCATGGAAATTATGAACCCTTTATAACAAGTCATATAATATCCTATTTTAATGTTTAAATCCCACATCCAACAATATAGGTCTAAGCTTTGTATCAGCAGAGAGAAAACTACATTTAAATGCAAATTTACACCTGACATCTGCAATGAGTGAGAACTTCAAGACACTTCAGATAATTTAAAACCAGTGGCTCTTTGTCAGGATGCAAGCTTAGATGGTGCTGTAGAGCAATTTAACAGCGTTTTATGATTCCATTGTGAAACATAAAGGGATGGACAGGGTACAATGATTAAAAAAAGGTTCAAATAAACTGATACACAACATCCTGTGTGTTAGCACACGTGTTTCAGTTCCAAGAAGACCACTTTAAGCTTGCAATGATCTTGACCTGTTTGAGGTTATGTAATCCACTAGATGGAGCACTACACCTGTACAAGCTGACACTGCACAATTTCAGCTTAGAGGTGTCTGCACAGGACAGAGTGTATGCACATGATACTGAAAAAAAATTGTATGGGTTTATTTATTTTTGGCTTCAGTTTTAAAAATTAGGTTTGTCACTGATTTTATTGTTTCATGAAACAACAGGCAGAAGAGTTGGAAGCAAATTTTAAAACTCATGAGTTTTTACTTACTGTAAGCAACATGCCCAGTAAACTGGAGTAGAATACTTGACTAAATGTAAGTAACATTCCTACTAGTCCTATATGTGGTGCTATCCGATGGTGTTAGGGATTTTATGATTAACATCACTCTAGTTCAGTGGCTTTGATGGGGGTGGGGTACATTATATTTTAGGCGGGGTAGTGACACCCCATACCCCCTTTGAAACACGCTTCTGCTCATGTCTAGCAAAAAAAGCAACCCTCGTTTGATCAAACATAACGATTATTTTATTGCAACACTGTCGCACTTCTATGTGACAGCAGGCCAATAAAAGCGGCTACACCACTCAGCTTGTGCATGTCACAAGTATTTATCTAAACTTATTAGAGCTTATAATACCTAACTAGCCTACACCTGGAAGTCTGTTAACCACAGCACCTTGGCTGTTAACGTCATAAAAACCGTGACACATTGTGTTTATTACAGCCACTATCGAAACAGCACGTCGATACAGGTGTTCTCGCCTCCAAGCATTTTATTACAGGTGTGGGAGTCACGAGTGAGGGGAGGGAAAGAGGGAGGAGGCAGCTACCCTCGGTGCGACAGAGCCGTTCACCTATGCGCCACACTGCTAGAGCGGTGATTGGTCCGCTTCACTGTGTCCGTCCTTGCCCTGAGGTGACGTCAGGAGGAACCCTGCTGGTGGAGGTTGGCGCGTGCAGATTCAGCGCGAGTGCTCAGAGTAGGAGAGACAGCCGGCGGGCTCCAGGCAGAGACTCCGGACCTTCGTGACAGCACATTTTCAGGTAGGAGGGAGACACTGCGTTAACTTTCATTTTGACTCCCACCCCTTCCGACAAAGAGCAGATAGGCGCTTGAGCGCGATTTCTCGTCAGGGTTTGGACAGCTGCTCTCCCCCACTGAGCTCTCTGTGAGGTAAGCTGTCGTTAACGGGCACTTTGGCTGCATTTACCTCGCCTGTAAGGACTTTTCCGTAGAAGGAATGTGTTTATAACAGCTGAAGTGAGATTTAACGACTTTTAAAAATAACTCGTTTTCAGCGTTTTAGGCTGCTGAAGCATAAACAGCAGCCGGGTTCACGTTATATCCTCCCATTCACTCCGAGAGGACCTCGGTGTAACTAAAGCTGCTGTTTTGAAGATCAGATGCTGACATGGAATATACTAGAGACTGAAGTGATCGCTTTTTATCCTCTTCTTCTTTCACTGAAACCATATACAGGTAGATATCTATCTAAATGGCTCAAGTTTAACTTATGGTATGTCTACAAAAAGCGTTAGGCCAGAAGGATCCCTGTTATTAATCTGTAAATCAGAAATACTGTAATGATTTCATCAGTAAAAACACATCACACTGTACGTCTTCCCCGGGAAGTCCTTAAAGCAGTTTGAGTGTAACCCCATCTGTCTCTGTCGTTTATTTGCTTTCTGTTTCTCTGTGGCTTTCTTTACACACCGTCTCTCACTTTCTTAACACTTCACACACCTCCTCACCTCTTCTACTAAGAAGTCCTCTTATCATTGATAAGCTGGCCTTAAGAGGAGATTTGGTGTGCGTCACTGACAGCAGATGACCAATCAACACTGCTGTTAGAAAAATCTCAATGTGTTTGCCATGGAAGCAGATGGGTGCAGGTCGGTTGATTGATATGCAGGTATGGATGGGCTCCATGGCGTTCAGTTGACAGCTGCTTTCTGACTCTGGGAAACACAAACTGGCTCTTCTTTCTTCTCTTTCACTGTCTGTGTTTATGCTTCTAAATATGTTCCACTTGGCACCCTGTGGAAAAAGAGCTTGCCCACATCTGCGGAGGTCTTTGTCAAGTGTTTGACCTAATGAAACTTGTTGTTGTTGTATGAAATATGTGAATGGAGTTTGTTAGTTTGTT